CTGGGACATGGGATTCCATAGCATTGGGGTGAACTTCAAATGCTCTTTCAAGGATGTCGCTAGGTGGCCTAGAATTAGTGGGGCCGAAACATTAGGGTTGCTCGATAAATCGAAAGATAAAAAGCAATAAGCGAACCCGTTATTCGTAAACCCTAGCTGCGAAGGAAGTGAGAGCGGGCCTTTTCCGAACCCTATGAGACCCAACTGCACTCTATATGAGGATTGAGCACAACCGAAAGAAATATATTGATTCGTATTGGGTCGATTCTTTGCGTGGAGTACGATGGTGTCATTAGCAAGAAACCCGGCCACGGCCCCATCGACATAAGAGTACACAAACGAAGGGCACGGTTTAGAGCATTTGTCGTGGACTATGTCCCTCAACGCACAACCGGCCGTGGTGCAAGTGTCGTAATAGTCGGAGTTATGAATATCAGCACAAAGAGGACTCGTGCAAGGCTCGCTTGCTATCGACTTTGACAAGGAAGGATTGAAAAACGAGGTATTGTATTTAGTATAGTACGGGTCAGTGCAATCGATGCATTCGAAATGGTTGGATGAAGTCCCACAATGCATCCAGACGAGATCGCTACCCGTGCTAAGGAGTAAGTTGTCGATGGTTTGAGAAGGAGAGCCTACTGAGAGGGACATAACGTGCCCGTCTCGTATCTCGTTGAGTGGCACGATGCCATCGGGTGTTTTCTTGGACGTGTAATCATAATAGTCGAGTTTTCGAGTAGGACGAATTTTCGACCTCGAGTGAGTTAAACTTAGGATTAATGAGTTTGAGCTACCATTGGCATGGAGCTCAACAAAGATTGAGGCTATATGAAGTAGAAAAAGGAAATGAAGAGTGGAAAAGGTTATGAAGGAAGACATGTTATTTTGACTCAATTTAGTAGTTAATGAGGCTTTGAGANAGTAAAGAATGAAGATGGTGTATGAGGAAGTTCATGGATGGTGGTGATTTATAGACCAGCATTTTGCAGTTGAGAGAATGTTATAGAGTGTATAGGTGTATAATAATAGTATGTTTTTTCTTTTAATGTAATTTGTACCAATTTTTTACTTAATATATGTGGTAACAAAAGAGTCAAACCTTTTTTTTTTTCGAAACGATAGAATTCATTCACTAAATACGTAATTATAACTGACTCACTAGCCGGAATAGTAGGACTACCCAAGGCAGTCTAGATACCACAACACGTCTGTTTCATTTGTTTAAAGGCAATATTCAACTGCCCTTCAAAAATATCAAGCCATCAAATCACAAATTTTGTTTTATAATGCCCAATATGAGTAAAAAATATAAAAGCTAAAATCTGTCAAATTGAATTATATGTCAAGTTAGATGATTCATGACATAAGTTCTCTGGCGGCCACCAAATTTCAAAAACTTTCACCATTTCTTCTCATAAAAGAGAGAAAGAAAAAAAAGAGGAAAGAAGACAAAATCCTCAATTTATTTTGAAATTATTATGATGCATAAGANTTCCAACATTAATGCCTAGAGATTGGTTGATGATTCATGACATAAGTTCTCTAGCGGCCACTAATTTATGCTGTTTATGTTCACAATTTAAAAAACTTTCACCATTTATTCGAAAAAAGGAAAAAAAAGAAAAAGTAAAGAATACAAAATCATCAATTTTTTTGTTATTATTATGATGCATAATATTGTAGGTGCAATTATATAACAAATCTTATTATGACTTTGGTGCTAGAGGAACCCTATCTTATTATGACTTTGGTGTTAGAGGAACATTATTTAGTGTTACATTAAAATAAAAGAATGTTTCACCAAATCCAAAATTTATTCACTTCTTTGTTTTATTATTGTTAATTTGTAATTTAACCATCTACACCTTATCTTTTGAAAAAATCTACATTAGTAATTATTTTTACCCATTTTCATAAGTTAGCAATATGGCAGTCCTTGTCTATTTTGGCTCTTCCTTCACTCTCTTATTTTTCTGCTTTACATTTTTTATCTCTTTTCTTCTTCTTTCCTTATCTCACAGATCGAAATCCAACAACCCCAAAAATCTCATCTATATATATATATATAAAGGTTGTTGGAAAAATACATTAATAAAAAGTTTGACTAAATAAATATAATATTTGACTTACTATTAATGGAAAATTCAAAAAAACACATGTGAATCTTAAATATCAAAAATTAAATCCTATTTTTTTGGTAACAAATTTGGAGATTCTTATGGCAAAATTTGAATCCCATTTTTTTCGTATCATATTTTATTTTTTTACCAAAATTTAAATCATATCTTTTTTTTGTAACAAATTTGAAGATTCTTTTGCAAAAAATGTGTCAATTATTTAGGAAAACAATTCTAAATACAAAATAATTTAAAAACCATGCAAATTGGATACAACTTTAAGAAGCAAATAGTTGTATAATTCTTAACCAATTCTTCCAATCTTATTGAATAATTTCTTCTTTCAAAAAAATTGTGTAAATTGGATAAAACCACGTATAATTTTTACTTTAAAATAAACTGATATTTGGACGGGATGTACATTCAAAATTATGTCCACATTTTTTGGTAACAAAAGCGGTTCATCATTGATATTTAAAGTCTCCTTATCCAATTATTTAGGAAAAATTGTGTGCAACTTTTCAAAATTTAAATGCATCGATTTTTTTGGATTCTTATTTTTTTAACCATGTTTTACCGAGATTTTGGTAAGTTCATATCATTTTTTTTTAATTTGGTTTAGGTCATATCATTTTCTTTAGGAAAGAGACAGTTCCATAAATATTAACAATTTATTTCAATTTTTTAATTAGAATTATTTTCAATTCAATTTGTTTGGTACAAAAATCGATGCAATGTTAGAAAAATTCGGTTGTATTTTTAGGAATAAATGATGATTTTATTTGGTTTAAAAAAAATTCAGATCAATTTGTTTGGTAAAAAAATCAGTTTATTGGTAGGAAAATCGGTCTCATTTCCAGGAGTAACTAATAATTCTTTTCAATTTTTCTTAATTGATATTTAGATGGAATAAATAATGGGTGAAAATCCCTAAAAAATTTTACTTTTTTTTCTACTTTAATTTTGTTTAATAAATAAGATCCTCTAATTTTTTTTAAAATTTGTTAACTAATAACTAATAATATGCAATGTTGGATAAATTCGAACACTTATTTAGTACTTCATGTGCTAAAGAATCAAATCAATAATGTTATACATAAATAAGTGTTTATAACATATAAATTTTATTTTCATGAAATTTTTAATGGCATGAGACAGTTTAAATACAACAATACCTTTTAAAAAATAAATAAGTAATAAATGCTCCCGTGTATCGCACGAGTACCGTACTAGTTCCCTTTAATATTCTTCTATTTTCCTAGTTTCTTGCAAATATTTATTTGGTGAAATTATTTGGGGCTTTTGTAAAATCCCCTATTAGTAGATCACTCAACTAAAAGAGGACCAAATTATTCATCCATATTAGTTCTGGATCATTTAACTAGAAGAGGCCCAACAGTTTTGAGTAATTTCTGAAGTCCAGAAGCGCTTTAGCTAAATCATGAAGGCCCATATATCACCAAACAATTCCACGTCGCTTTCTTTTAGTCCACGTAGGCTAAAACATGCCGTTCTGTTCATAGGATGAAATATGAAAATCGATCGGGATATCTAATCTCACCCCAAAAAATTTAGGCTAGTTTGGTAAAATTAGTTGATAAAGTAATTGATAACTGATAAATTAGTTTATAATTTATCAGTAATTTTCGAGTGTATAGCTTATAACTCATGATTTATAGCTGAAAAAACTAGCTTATATAGTGTGGTAAAATTAGCAAAAAAGCTAGCTGAAATAAAAATTTCAAACTTATGAAAATCTACCAAAAAAACTTATGAGATAAGCTCGTTCTACCAAACGAAACTTATTTGAATACATGAAAGTTATAAGTTAATCAAATAAACTATAAGCTAGCTTATTTGTCTACCAAACATAGCCTTAATCTCACTCAGGCGGCATGTGTTAGTAACCGGCTGCCAATTTTTTTGTCCTAAAATTGCACAATTTCGAAAGTAATTACTAGACTAAAAATTGGTAAAAATGATTTGTAGTGGGACTAAAATTGTAAGTTTCCCATGTTTGACCACATGTAGCTAGCTATCATATTATTTGTGATTTAGTCACACACAGAACAAGAAGTAAAGTGAGAAAACCAAATATTACTCCAATTTATCTCCTCTAGCAATAATAATGATTCATGAGACAACAATTGTGTAAGTATTAATCAAGAAGCAAAGGTCGAAATAGGTTTTTATATTAGTAGTGACTTATTATTATTATTACTACTTTTATTATCATTATTATTGTCAGATATGTGAGGTCGTGTTGGTGATGGCGAGCATGATGGTGATGAGGTCCTTTGCTTTGCCGATAGAATTCTGCAAAACCTCCGGTATGCTTTGGTCCAAGTCATTGTAATCATCTATACAGTTGTCGATATCTGTCTCAGCAGCCGAGCACTTGGAGTTGATGATATCGATGTTCGTTTTCCAAATCTTGTTGGTGCAACCCTTAAGTTGGTCAATGGCATCTTTGACGTGGCCCACACACAACTTGGCTAGTCTGGCATTGGTGAGACTCTTGGCGACGGTCCGCAACTGTGTGGTGGCGTTTATGGCCGCTTTATTCGCGAAACGGCCCATGCATGTAAAGGCGGCTTTTGAGGTGTCGTTAGGGTTTCCGCAATTGGCCGAGCTTAAGGTGCATTCGCACAAGGCCTCGTTTAGGGGCGGTCCTTGAGAGCAAATGCTCGTTATCAAGTCGCCCACTCGGGAATAGCTTACAAGGGAAAGGGAAGAAAAAGTGGCTAAGATGAGTAGAGTAGTTGTTCCCTTCATTTTTGTTTGTGTTTAGTAGTT